CATCCGAACTAACAGTTCCAACCATTCGCCTCAATTTCTGAGCATTTGAGCGCGGGCGTATATCCGAAAGTGTTAACTTTTGTAGACCTTGAGCATGTCCAGGCAAGAAGTGGGATTGTGCCGCGGATAGGGTAGGGTCGGGTCAAAGACTTGCGTAGAAAGGCGCAGGTGAGGTTTATATCAGGCTTAGGGTTGGCGTTGGGCAGATTCCCTACGGTAAATGGCCGTATGGGAGTTTTGATCACGCTGAAATTGGGCTGCTTTTCTCGAAAGCCCCTAACTTCCGTTAACCGATATCCACAAAGGTTTTTTAGATCGCGATGAGCATGGTGAAGATATTGCTCAATCGAAGGGACTTTTCGGGTGTCAGTCGAGATGTTTAACCGTCACTTTGCGATCGGCCTATCGGATGAGATCATACCGAGTGAGGTCAACGGCCTAAACCAGCTTCAGTTCCCAAAGGTAACGCCTGCGCGGCGCATTGCCCTGACGATCGCTGAATCAGCAACAGACAGGTCTCGCGCCACGGAACTTCTTAACAGGCGATATGCTTGGCGCGGTTACGGGGCCAACCACCAGATTGGTCTTTGTGAAAATCATACGACCTTCATATCGCTTTTGAACGAAGAGATTGTGGGCACGATCACACTGGGTGTCGATTCTCCCAATGGCTTGGCGATTGACACGCTCTTCAAAAATGAGGTGGATGAGTTCCGGGCAGCACCAGGGGCCCAGATTTGCGAGCTGACCAAGTTTGCCTATGAGAGTGATGCTGCGGCTCCAAGCAACAGCCACCTCGCAGCACTGTTCCACACGGTCTTCCTTTACGGGATCTATAACTACGACTGCACAGATCTCTTTATCGAAGTGAACCCCAGGCATCGCCGCTTTTATCAAGCGATGCTCGGATTTCAGCCGATTGGTGAGCTGCGCATGAACCCCAAGGTTGATGCGCCATCTCAGCTGATGTGGATTAATGTCTCCAAGATCGCTGAGCAGATCGCCCATCACGCTAAGCCGAAGGACGCGCCGCTCCGCTCCCTATACTCACTTTTCCTGTCGCCATCAGAGGAAGCTTCCATCAAGAGCCGCCTCGATCTGCGGCGGAAGCTTGGCAATTGTGGATATCTTTTTAGCCGTGAATTGAAGGACTAAGGGAACATCTCTAGCGACGCGCAATTCTTATAGGGGTATGCTCAACAAGGGCGAGGCCGCACATGAAAGCCTGCATGACGCCTGTTATTTTATAACGAGGACCGGGTTTGGATGTCGACGCGTGGCCTATGTTGATGGGAGAAGTTCGCGAAAGCGAAGTTGCGTTAAGCGAAGGTATGTGGGCGCTCTTATCAAGCTCCACCAAGGACAATCACGACATGTCTCTACGAGGCACTGTCATACTCCGTGACGGACGCCTTTTAGGTAGTCACGGCCATAGGGCTTATGCAGGCACCTATGAAATAAGCGACCGCGTCATGACGGCATATTTCGAAAGCTGGACGTGGCACCCACTCGCGCGAAATCGAAGTATATTTGACCTCGAGGCAAATAAAGTAGATGATATGTGCCTCAGCGTCAATATCCATCCCACATTTATGGTGGGCGAAATTACTTCCAAGTTCTCTCCCGAACTTCATCTGCCCGCATGTCTAATGAAAATATGCGACGCGGACGGCGCTTATTAAAGGCGCCTCTTCTTTATATACTCCGCTTTCAAGCCAGACACGGATTGTGTGTCGCTATGAGATTTTTAAGCGTTGAAGCGTCTTGGGTCAATCGAGAAGTTATAACTTTAGATAATATCTAATATGCCGGTAGTGATAGCCTCCAAGAAAAGTGCATGCTAGCTTCGGCGGCATACATTTCTGTAATATTAGCATAATTTCACTTATACGCCTGCAGTGGGCATGATAATGGCGTCATCGCAGTGACTAACGCTGCTTTTCCTGAGCGCCCTTGATGCCCCAGCCAGATTTCACTGCTTTCGAAGGCGAGCGCCTCGCACAGCTACGTGCGAGCGGCCTGCTCGACTCTGATCCGGAGGTGCCCTTCGACCGGATCACACAGCTTGCCGCCAGCATCTTTGGCACACCGATCTCGCTTATCAGCTTGGTCGAGGACAACCGGCAATGGTTTAAGTCGCGAGTTGGTCTCGACGCCTCCGAGACGGCACGATGTGTTTCTTTCTGCGCGCATGCCATACAAATTCCGAACGTGTTTGTCGTACCTGACGCTTTGTTGGACCTGCGCTTTTCAAATAACCCTCTCGTGACTGGTGCTCCAAATATCCGGTTCTACGCCGGTGCGCCCTTGCGGACGAAGGAGGGGCTTACGCTCGGTACCCTTTGCGTAATCGATACAAAACCGCGCGTGGATTTTGATGCAAAGGCGTGCGCAATCCTTAGCGATCTAGCCGCAATCGTCATGCGCGAGATCGAAATGGGTCGGGAACTTGAGGACGGGAAGGCCGCGAAGCTGGCGCTTTTTGAAAGCGAACAGAGGTTTCGGGGATCTATGGAACACGCCGCAATTGGCATGGCCCTAGTTTCTCTCGACGGCACTTTCCTTGAAGTCAACTTGGCGCTTGCCAACTTCCTTGGCTACGAGCGGGAAGCGCTAATGCAGCGCACATTCCAAGATGTCACTTATCCCGATGACCTGGCTTTAGATCTGCACGAATGCGAGCGGCTGCTAGCTGGTGAGATTGACGAATACCGCCTCGAGAAGCGCTATATCACCTCTGATAACCGTGTGGTTTGGGGTATGCTCGCAGTCACACTTGTTCGTTCGGCGGATGGCAAACCACTACACTTCGTGTCTCAAACAGAGAATGTAACCGAGGTGCACCGCCTTGCCGACGAACTACGTAAGGACAAGGAGGTACTTTTGGCATCTGCGCGTGAGTTGCAAAAAGCTCACGACGATGCCGAAGCAGCCAATCTCGCAAAGTCAGAATTCCTTGCGATCATGAGCCATGAGCTGCGCTCGCCACTCACCGGCGTCCTCGGCTTCGCCCAGCTCTTACAAATGCCCGCTTTTGGTGAGCTCAACACCAAACAAAGGGAGTATGTAGAGCACATCATCAGCTGCGGGCAGCTCGAACTCGATCTGCTCAACGATATACTTGAATTGAGCAACGTCGAAGCCGGCCGCGTGGGTCTAGAAATGAAGGCTGTCGATCCGGTGATGGTGCTCCGGTCGGCTCTCAGTAACGCTTCACATGCGGCAAACGCACGAGGTGTTCTGCTGCAGCAAGACACCAGTACACTGGTTTCCCCTCCGGTGCTTGCCGACCCCGTCCGCCTAGCTCAAGTGCTGAACAACCTGCTGAGCAACGCTATAAAGTACAATCGTGAAGGCGGCTCCGTCGCCCCTCACCTGACTGCGGACGATGCCGGGGTGACGATTACCA